GGACAAATACAAGCAAACTAATCACTGGGAAAAAGAAAGCAAAAAAGAAAAAAAAAAAGAAAAGAAAAGAAAAAAAATCAGTGGATGACTGAGTAGGGCACCCAGGCTCTCTCTGAGCACACAGACTGTCCTTGGGGTTGCTGGAAAGCAGAACGTGTTCTTAAGCCCCAGAAATCAGCGAGAGTGCTGTCTCTTTAAATATCCAAAATAGTCAAGCCACTTTTTAAACCTTCAAAATAGCGGTATCCTCCTGACCAGCAAAAGTCCACAGATCAACCCACCTTTCTCTTCACCTTCTCCATTTGTTCCCTAGCCACCATGCACAGTCCGTGCAGTCCCTGGCTAGCACGGTGATTTTTAGGTTAATTCTTAAGACCTACCACGACAGGAATCTGCAAGAGCGCTGTCTCTTTAAATATTGAAAATAGTCAAGCCGCTTTTTAAACCTTCAAATTGGCGGCATCCTCCTGACTGGCAAAAGTCCACAGCTCAGCCCACCTTTCTCTTCACCTTCTCTGTTTGTTCCCCAGCCATCGTTCACAGTCCGTGCAGTCCCTGGCTAGCAGGGTGATTTTCAGGTTAATTTTTAGGTCCTACCACCACTCGGGAATGTCCAAGCCGTCTGTGCCGTCAGGGGCGCTCAGGTCCCTGCCAGACCACAGCTCCGTATGTCTCCTTTTTTGGTATTTTCACGCAAATTCTTCTGCTAGTTGGGGTTTAGTCTACTTCTGTATCCTTCCCTTCAAGGCTCAGCGGTCCAAGATTATCTTCTGTGTCCGTGTCAACTGGTTTCCCTTTTCTTTGTTGAAGAGCGTCTGTGCAGTCCTTCTGCCTAGTCCGCCATCTTGCCGGAACCTGCATTATACTCTTTTAAGAACTATCTACATGGGATCAAATGGACAAAGCAAGATGAGACAGGAAACTTAGGGGGCAATGAGTTTATGTCAGTGAGGATGGAACAATTCAGAAAAGGAGGGTGAGAATGGTTGCATAACTTGAAAAATGTAATCAAAGTCACTGAATTGTATGTGTAGAAACTGCTGAACTGGTGTATGCTTTGCTGTGTATGTGCTCAACAACAACAAAATAAATAAAATTTAAAGAAAAAAAAAGATTTAACATTTATTGAGTTTTTGAGTTACAAGCACTTTACATGAATTAGCTTGTTTAATTCTTAAAACAACCCTATGAGGCAAGAATTATTTTAGCTCCATTTCACCCATATATATGAAAACAGATTAACCCTCATTGGCCCATGGGCTCAGTGCTAGTAAGTGACACTCTTAACCACTACCACTTACAAAACATAATAAAGTCAACACTAAATTTATAAATGAAATAAATACTTACGGACCTTTTTCTAGAGGCATTCTACATCTGTGACATATTAGAAAGAATAAATATACCTCAAAATGTGTTGAAAGTACTGAAACTATCCATTACTTCAGGAAAAGAAAACATTTTTACCTGATCTAAGCTACATGGCAAAAGAGCTCTGGTAGCGTAGTGTCTAAAGCACTTGACTACTAACCAGAAGGCTGGCGGTTCAAACCCACCAGCCACTCCTTGGAAGGAAGATTAGGCAATCTACTTCCATAGTGATAATGCCTCGGAAACCCAAGGAGGGGTCACTATGAGTCAGGTCCGACTCGACAGCACATAACAACAACAACAACAACAAGCTACATGGCAAAGTAAATTCTTGGACACTCAATACTCTAGTTGTCTAACGGTATTATTTCCTCCTAAGTAAAAAGCCAAGAACAGTAGCAGGTCAAATGTAAGAAACACTTACCAATTTCCTGTCGAGTGCTGCATACTCCAACTCCATACTCCTTGAGGACTTTGGCAGCTGCTTCTTGGCATGATCCAGTATTTCGTGCAAAACCAAGATAGTTGTAGGAACCCATGTTTATAACACCTTTAATTATATTCCCTGTGTACCTGTGTTTCAAGAATAAAAGTTCACTAAATTCATGAGCAAATAAAAAGAGATAGGAAATGTACTAATAATACAAACTGCAGTAGAAAGAACATAGGTCTATATGAAAAGAAGCTCAAATTCATTACCAAGTAAAGAAAATGAAAGTTGACAGAAAATACCCAATTTTATTTCTCAATGGTGATACAGACTTAAAAACTAACATATGCAGTGTTGTCCAGGATAGTCTCATATACTGTAAACAACAAAATAAATCTGGACGATTTTTTTTTTCCAGAGGCCTGTTAGTAGTACTTATCCATTAAAAGATATACTTATGTACTCTTTTACTCAGCAATTCCCTTGGATATGCAAGGATTTATGGGTAAGAATCCTTTACGAGTCACTGCACGATCTGCCACGTCCCTTCTCCAGGCTCAGAGACCAATGGCATTCCATCTGGGGAAGCTCAGCTAGCTGGGGACCCCAAGTGAAGACAATATGGATCAAAGGTCCCACCAACCTAAGAACATGAAGTATGAACAGAAATACATCACAATTGTTTTAACTCCCTGAGATTTTTGGGTTGTTAACACAGCATAACTCAGTCCAACCTGTAGCCAATACAAATAATGAGCTTACACTGAACATACACAAGATAGGGATGTTACCAAGATACTACAGGTGAAAAAGCAACTTGTAAAATAACATGTAGTTGCTGTTCTGAGATGATGTTGAGCCAATTTTTCGACTCACAGCAACCCCACGTGACAGAGCGGTAGTGCCCCAGAGGGTTTTCTTGGTTGTAATCTTTATGGAAGCAGATCACCAGGTCTTTCTTCTGCAGAGCTGCTGGATGGGTTCAAACTGCTAATATTTGGTTTAGGAGCCTAGTGCTTAACCATTGTGCTGACAAACAAAACCAAACCCACTGCTGCTGGATCAATTCTGACTCATAGTGACCCTACAGGACAGAACAGAACTGCCCCAATAGGGTTTCCAAGCCTGGAAATCTTTATGGAAGAAGACTCCCTCATCTTTCCCCTGTGGAGCGAGTGATGGGTTCGAACAGCTGGCCTTTCAGTTAGCAGCAGAATGTGTTAACCACCACACCACCAGAGTTCCTTACTGCACCATCTGGGTTCCTTAATAAAGATCCGATTCTTGTAAATAAAAATCTACCTGTGCATGACCCCAGTAAATACACTACTTACACACCCCTCAGAAAACATCTACAGGAATAATATACAAAAAACTAAGACCAAAAGAATGGTCACCTCTGACCGTAAAGGAGTATTTGCTGAGGAGTATTTGCAGAAAGGAGTTCTGGTGCCGTAGTACCCACGGCATTTGACTACTAATCAGTACACTGGCAGTTCAAACCCACCAGCCACTCTGCAGAAGGAAGACTAGGTGATCTACTTCTGTAAAGATTTACTGCCTTGGAAACCCAAAGAGGGTCGCTATGAGGGGTGGCAGTAAGCTTGGTTTTTTTTTTTATAGATTTGCAGAGGGACAGGGGTTGGGTGTTATGGTAGTCTTTCACTTTGGATTATGTCTTTTTAAAATTTTAATAATAATAATGATGGTGCAATCATGTAATACTTATGCTATCTAAACAAAATTAAAAAATAAGAATATAGAAAGTTTTCTAAACAGTTCCATCATTTAAGTAAAAACATTCCATATGTCTTTGAATCATTCAGAGTAATGAAAATATCTAGAAATACATTCAGACACTCGATTTTGGCATAATAGAAAGGATATTTTTTATTTAACAAGTTAAATTTTGTTCTCAACTATAATCCAACATATTATTAAATGTAATTTTTTTAAAAAAGTATTTTTAAAGTCTCGACAATGGATATATGCAAAGAAGTTAATCATGATGGAGTATACTTTCAACTGCTAACCATTATGAGAGAATTCTCAATTTGCAATAAATTAAAAGGAAGTAATTCTTTTTTTTTTTTGTTCTCAGGAGATATGTTCCCGACCAAGACTCACTTGAATGACCAGTTGTAGTCATGAGACTGTCTCTCCATGATGTCCACTTTGGCTCCAGGCACACTGCAGATTGGTCGATTCCAGTTGTCCCTAATCCTCATGTAGAGGTTTCTTGTATAGAAGTTTTCGAAGTCCTGATACAAAGACACAAAGTCCTGCCAACAAATGATGAAATGCTATAAATTTAACTGAGTTACTAAAAAACAAAACAAAACTCACAACTTCTCTCTTCATTGCAAGAGCACCTGTGAATGAGAGGTCAGTTATATTTAATTAATGATATGGTAATTATATTTAATTAATGATATGGTAAACATCTGAAAGGACACTAATTATCTACGTTTATCTTAAAACAACTTTTAAGCCTAGTAAAAGTCACCTAGCTTGATGGCTGACCTGTATTACTGAACAGTTTCAAATGACCATCTGATTCCAAGAATGCGGTGCCAAAGATGTGAACTTAATTTAGTGGGCTTTATAAAAATAAAACTTTGTAGTATGAAACATCATTAAATGGTTTTCCTTCCTAATAACCTCAAGAATACTGCCCCTCCAAAACATATTGGGGGAAACTGCCATAAAAACTCCTATAATTCCAGTTTCAAACAAGAAAAAGAATTCTAAAATTAAGACTCCCATCCTCTTCAGGTTTTCAAGGTTCAAAATGAAACAAATTCAAAGAAAATTTTTAATTAAGAAACACTGAAGTGTAGATTATGGGAAGCTACTTCCCTTAGGTTTTTCTTTCATGCCCAGGGACGTAAGGCCCCCTTTTCCTCCCTGAAATTAAATTACACTAAAATGGAAGACACTAAGATCAAGTCATGGTGGAGCTGTGAACGAATGAATGAACGTACTGCCATTGAGTTGGACCCGACTCAGAGATCCCTCCTTAGGTTTCCGCGGCAGTATCTCTACAGAAGCAGATTGCCCAGCCTTCCTTCTGAGGAGTGGCTGGTGGGTTAGAACTGCCAGCTTTCTGGTTAGCAGTCAGATGCCTTAGGCACTATGCCACTGGAAACTCCCAGTAGAGCTGCAATGAATACACAATGTTCTGCTCAGCGTGTATGTTCGCTGCTCGGAATACACGTGATCAGACCACATGAGATTTACCTTACTGAGTGGAAAGGAAAACGAACAAAAAACAAAGTTGTACTCCAGGCTTTACTATCGTCAGCAAACCACTGAACATCTAGTCAGTCCTCAGATCTAGGCTTAGTAACAATCTAAATAAACCTGTTTTATTTCAATAAGCCAAGCAAAATTATTCAAGCTTTAAATCTCATTTTAGTAAATGATTTTCATTGCTAAAAGAGACCCTACATATATAAGTTTAAAATGTGCAACCTTCCACGACATTGAACTCTAATAAAAACCTACTAAATAAATCTTACCAACGATAAAATCTTACATAAGCTGGGCATAGACTTAAAGCACTATAGGAATGGCAGCACCTGATACCATCTCCCTTGCAATCAGTCCTACTGTTTACCTTAAGATAGAAAATGGAGTCTCTGGGTGGCCTAAATGGTTAAGCTGGAAAGGTTGGCAGTTTGCACCCACCCAAAGGCACCTTGGAAGACAAGCCTAGTCAACTGCTTCTGAAAGGTCACAGCTTTGACAACCCTATGGAACAGTTTCATTCTGCAACACATGTTATCGCCATGAATTGGAATCAACTGACTATGGCGTAGTGCCTAAGGCATTTGACTGCTAACCAGAAGGCTGGCGGTTCAAACCCACCAGCCACTCCTCAGAAGGAAGGCTGGGCAATCTACTTTTGCAGTGATATCGCCTCGGAAACCCAAGGAGGGGTCGTTACGAGTCAGGTCCGACTTGATGACAATGCGTTTGGTTTAGTTGTGGGTTTTTTTTTTTTTTAATATATATACTATAACTGGATAGGAGCTCTGGTAGCATAGTGCCTAAGGCACTTGACTGCTAACCAGAAGGCTGGCGGTTCAAACCCACCAGCCACTCCTCGGAAGGAAGGTTGGGCATTCCTACTTCCGTAGTGATACTGCCTCAGAAACCCAAGGAGGGGTCGCTATGAGTCGGGGCCGACTCAATGGCAAATAACAACAACAACAACATAACTGGATACTGAAAGATGGAAAATATACACAAATAATGTGTCAATCACAATTGTAAATTTATTATTTAAGTCACATGCCCCTTCTGACAGGAACAGATACACCCAAATACTAATTAAAGTTTTTTTAATTTTTGGCTAAATATTGTTCACTATGCATTTATTCCCCAAAGGAAAAAGTAGTCCTAATACTCCTTTATTCACATTAAATGGGGTAAATACTAATAACTCTTTTAATGAAACCAATTATATTGCTGAGCTCATTTTCTTATCAGTGCACATTAGTGCCCAAGGTATTATCTTGAATACTTCAGAGAAATACTTCCTCACAAATTTTTATTAGTAATGAAGAGCAATGTTTTTGTTTTTACTACATACACAGAAAATAAATAAAAACTTGCAAAGTCTGGTCCTATCTACCAGAAGGGTGATCAACCTCCAAGATAACAAAAAGGGATGCAACAGGCTAAAATGAGGTAGAGCTTTCCCCCTCAGCCTTGGACTAAATCCAGGCAACCATGACATAACCGTGTGTAGTTGGAAGGCAGGGATGGGTTCCTAGCAGAGAACTGAGAGAGTGATTAACACCCTGACATGGGTACAGATCTGCACAGAGTGAAGGAGGAGAAGCTGACACTGTGGGCGTCGGGGACAAAAAGCAGGTGGCATGGAGTGGGAGAAGAGATGGAGTCTTGGCCAAAGTCTTCACCTCCCTGTACCCCCCAGCTAATGTCCAGGGTAGCCTGTTGCACTACAGTTAGAAGAGTAGGTACAGAGATCTGAAGGGCAGCTAACCAAGTCCCCTGCAGGTTACCAATGAAGCAAGAAAGGGGACGTTCCAGTTCTAGGGAATGAAGGGCCCGTTTCCAAAACTATCTCATTTTAAATATTTCAGGACTGGCATTAAACTAGATAACTTATCTTTGCATTCATTCATTCAAGTATCTTTTATTGAACATTCAATAAATTTCCGATCCTTTGCTAGTCTCAGGATACATTAGAGAATAACTGGGTCTCTCGGAAATAGTGACAACCCTACCCTCATCCCTGCTATGCCAGCCCTCACCCTTGCCCCTTTCCTTCTCTTCCTCCTCAGATCACTCACTGATTAGAATGACTTGAGTCAGGGACAACCTCACACTCATCTGCTCAGTGACTGAACACACATTTTCTGAGCAGTACCCCCCAGGCACTCAGCGAGGCACTGGGGATAAAAATGAGTAAGATACAACCTCTGTAAGACCACAGAGCTGTCAGTGAAGTGGAGACGGACACACATACAGAGGCTATCATTACCTTCATTTTCAGAGAGGTTAAATGTCTTTCACAGTTAGGCATCTAGTCAGAGGCAGAGCCAGGAACTGGTCCAGGTTTTCTAATTCCAAAGTCTAGTCCCCTGGCCCCCATGCCACACTGCCTCACATATTATGATACTGCTAAACTAATCAAAAAGACTCTATTCTATTCAAAGCCCTTTAAGACCACCATGTTATTGGCCGTTATACTTTCTTCCTATGTTCTCCCTGCAGTTGGCACAGACCTCTTGACCTCTCTCTCTCTCTCTCTCTCTCTCTCTCACACACACATATGCACACATGATCCACAGGATCTGGAAAGCTAAAAGTACATTTCCCAGACATCTTTGTGATAGGGTTATGAATGTGATATAGATCCTACCAGAGAAAAGGATACACAAGATCTAAGGCAGAGGCACTTTTCCCACCAGGCAGGAAGCAAGCTCTAGCAGACCTTAGTGCTAACAACAGCAGCTAGACTCCAAGTTTCACAGTCCCTGCACCAGCTTCACGGCTGCGGAGCAGCTGTGATGTCAATGCAGGCAGTGCCCAGGGCAGAACAGTTTCCTAATTTGGGGTGGTCACTCAGTTGGGGCAGTGGCGGGGTGGGGGGTGCTGTAAGCTCCATCTCCACATTTTCATAAATGCCTAATTCTCCGTATTAATTGCTTGTTCGCTTCAATGGCCCAGAGTGATTTCAGCTAACCCCACTGAAATGTGACTGCTTCAATAGCACATACTTTGTCCTTATTTTTGAAAAATAAATATTCAGTAGGTTATTACCACTCTTTTACAGATAAAAAGAAAATTTAAATAATTTGTCCATATCACATAAGAATTCAGTGAAATAGCTGAAACTATTTCAAATTGAGCCCTTTCACTAATTCCACTAAGAATTCTCAGTGCAATTTCTCACTTAGTAAATTTTACTTATTTCTCAGTCTAGGGCACAAATCTCAACATGGCAGAGAAAAGTTCTCTCAAACATGAGCACTGAGGCAAACAATCACTGCTTTGATGTTGGGATGAAAAGCTTGGAAAACATGCTCAGAAATGTTTCAGTTCCTTGTCCACATCATAATGATTTAAGGCTCCACCCTTGACCTGTACTATGATGCAGAGGAAAAACTGGGAAAAGCAAGCCAACTGCACCAGTCAGTAGCTAGCCTTTAAAGAACAAAGGGTATCAGAATCATCAAACAGCTTCATTTATTCTATTCAAAACGTGGCTAAGTAAGAAAAATAAGTAGGCTAAAATTTATCTACAAAACAGTAACATGGTATTCAGACATTCATGGGTTTCTTTTAAGTGGCATATTTATTTTAAAAACATTTTTGCTCAGGCAATTGGACAGCAATAGGCAAAAAAATGAACCTAAACCTAAACCTTACACTTTATACAAAAAATTAGCTCAAAATGGGTCACAGGCAGATGTACAATGTAGAACTGTAAGACTATTAGGAAAAAAATAGAACAAAGTCTTCATAATCTAGACCAGGCAAATAATTCTTAAACTTGACACCAAAAATATGATCCATAAAAGAAAAACCAACAAATCAGACCTCATCAAAGTAAAGCTTTGCTCTGTGAAAGAGCCTGTTATGAGAATGAAAGACAAGCTACCAACACGGATAAAATATTAGGAACATGTATCTGACAAAAGGTTAGTGTGCAGAAAGTATAAACAACTCTCAAACTCAACAGTTAGAACACACATACATGTCAAAAAACAAAACACAACCCAACCCAGTTGGAAAATGGACAAAG